CTCAGGTTTGTTTGAATAAGCCCCTTTGTTCGGCGGCGCTTTCCCACGTCCCTCCGTTCGCTAGGCAGTCGCGTGTCCCGAGTCAAAGAGGAGCCCTGGCCGCCAATCCCCGAAGAAAGTTTTCTTCGGAGCAAGACATCTGCGTCGGAGGGAACCTGCCAACATCTGCCACACTTTCCCCCTTTTCAAGAGCCTTTCTTTCCCTCTTAAAAAGTGCAGGAACAGATGTTAAAAGTTGTTTTCTTTCTCCGGAGTGTGAAATGTAGACAAATAACAAGAAAACTCTGAGCAACGCTCACCCCTTTCTCCTTCCTTTTCTTTTTTTTTTTGCTTTTTTTTTTTTTGGAAAGCCCAGGAAAAAAGGGAGGCTTTGTTTACAAAGTAGAATCCCCTTTTCAGTGAAACCTGGCAGTAGAAGTGCAAAAGGAAAGCGGGAATTTGCAGAAAGCTCCTTGTAATGCTCATTTGCATTGGCCTGTTGGGTCCCTACAATTCCCGGCACAGATGTCAGCCTTCCCCAAAGCCAGGGCAGCTCTCCCGCCCGCACCCCCCGCCTCCCAAATAAAGGCTTTTGCCGTGACTGAGAGGTGTAAAATAACTGTTTACAGCAAAAGCTGCTCTTCTTTTTCACTGTGGTGCTGTCTTACAAATGAACCTTGAAATGAGCTCACCCACAGCAGATGCCCGTGGGCAAGCCAAGGGGCTCACCCTGCCGAGTCTGGGGCTCAGATGCCCTGCGTGAGTGACCAAGGGCCACTGTGCTGCTCTTGGCCTCCCCTCCCACCTGGCTGTCCCTGGTACCCACAGCCTTGCCATCAGCTCGCTTCATGCTCTTATGGAACATCCCCCTCACCCCAGAGCTCTGCAGCAGCTCGAAGGGTGAGGGAAGCAGGAGGGAGGGTGAGGCAGAAGCAGCGAGTGCAGGCCAAGGAGGGGAGGGAGGGAGAGGAAGGAGGTGCTGCCACCACAGAGACCAGAGAGACCTTTGCTGGTGGTGCTGTGGGCCGGCCAGCCTCCGGGGCCACTGCCATGGGGTGCACACACAGCACCCTGCAGCCATGCCTGCCCAAGGAGGGGTGCCAATAGACACAGAACATATTTTTCAGAGTTTTTAGGTAGTTCTGCATTTGCTGACACCTCTGTCATGCTCAGTTGAGCCAGGAGTCAAGGTGGTCTCAGGCTTCCCCTTGCTACCCTGACTGCCTTGGGAAAGTGCCTCTTTCTGCACAAGGTGCTGGTGGAGGGGGGTCTGGGGGTGGATGAGTAGTTTCTCTTCCTCACCTACCATCCGAGCCAAAGCCAGCTAGAAGCTGCATGTCCAGGTCATGGGCAGGCACTTCCAGCCTGGAGCACCCTAGCAAACTGCCCAGAGCCAGGGGTGCACTCGGTGCCCCCTTACCCCAACCCATGCACTGCCTCCTCTACCTTTGCTGCTGGAGTCATGTGGCAATATGGATGCGTCAGCTATGCCTTTTATAAATACCTGCAACAATCCACTTCCCAGGTAGGCTGGAAAAAGCTTAGAAAATCAAATGAGCCTCCACTAGTGAGCAACTGGGGCTGACTGAAGTGAGGGGCTTCCGCGTGGGGTGGTGGGACCTCCTGTGCAGAGGACACACCCAAGATAAGGAGCCCATCACTGCTCTCTTTACCTGGCATAAAAGACAAGTTATTAACCTTCCCCTCCCAAACCTCCTCTCCCAGCACAGCAACCTCATGAGCTCTTCCCAGGCCCTGCCAAGTAGGCCACTTATAAAACTGGGTAACTGCACCCCAGCTCAGCATCTGACTGACAAACAGCCTCTGCCTGCCAGATTCTGGGGCATGTCTGGGGACATGTTTTCATGATGAGCACAGGCAGCAGGGTGTGCAGACATGCTGCAAGTATGTTTGCATTTACACACAAGCAAACACACACCCACCCACATGGTGGTGTGCTTAAGCAAGGGATGTGATGTCCTCATTTTTTTTTACTGGGGTACATCTCCACCCACAGCTGCAGGGAGAGAGGACTCTGCAGCCACAGCACTACAGCAGAAGCTGGGAAATTGCACAAGCAAGTTGGAATGGCTTGTGATGCTTCTGAACTTCTGCAGTTGCTTCCTTTCCACTTCAATAAGGTGACATATTTGACACCAATCCGAAGGGCTTCACATGTAGGACTCAACAGGGCACTGCCAAATCCTGCTCATTAGCAAAGTGACCATCAGAAAGCAAAAGTACAGTCATGAAAAAAGACTTCATACTCTCCCCCAAACCAGGCAGAAGTGAGGAAGCACAAAAGTGCATTCTCATCTCACACCATGTATCCTCCAAAGGCCCCTCTGCTCCTGCACCAGCATTCCAGAGGAGAGAACAGAAAACCCCTTCCTCCCAAAGCCTTGCAGCACAGGGAAAAAAAAATCAAAGAAGTAAAAATCCCACAGGACTAACTCACCTCTAGGTTGTTTTGCATCTGCAATAACCTGAAAGTTTGATATCAAACTCTACACAGCAGACAAAACCTAGAAGAGTTACGTGTTCCCTACATCCACCCATGTGAAACAGAGAATTCAGGTTCCCAAGAGGTAAATAAAGTTCCCATGTTTTCCCTAGAGAATTTCCGTGACGGAAACAACCTTCTTACTGGTGTCGGCTGTCAACAGTTTTTAATCGATCATCATTTCCTTGTAATAATCATCCCTGGGAGCAGGAACTCCTAGCTGAAGTACCCCATTATTAAATTAAGAGGCTGTTTCAAAAATGTGCAATGACTGGGGTCAGGTTAGCAAGGCATCACTTCAAGGAGATAGAGGAGTAAAAGATGAGTAGAAGGCATTTTCCCAGGTGTAACTCAACCGCTTCCCGGCTATTGTTTCCCTCCCTGGGAATCTGTGCAAATTGAGCGCGGAGCCGTGCAAGCTGCTCAGAGCGCGCCCATTTTCCTTCCCTTCTTCCCTAACAAAAGCTCCCTCCAAAGCTCCGCGTCGGGGCTGGACATCTGTCGCCGTTTGGGGGGGCTGGCGTGGTCATTGAAAAGAAGCAGTGACCTGTCAGCTTTGATTGATGGCCACAAACCTCCGGGCTCGACCCCTCGTGTGGGAAAAGAAGTCCCGCCAAGGAAAGGTCCCTTTCACATGCTAATTCGGGGTTATAAATACAGCAGAGGAGCAGCGGAGCAGCCAAGAGCCCATCTGGAAACGGAGCGACCCACTGCCCGAGCGCATCCTGCCCATCCTCTGCCCCCGGCGCGGCTGCCTGGGCTAGAATGACGGCCACAGCCTCCAGCGGCAGCGCCCACAGGCTCTCCAGCACCAAGGAGGAGAGGAAGGTAGGTGCTCTCTGCGCTGCTGCAGCAGCACCGAGTGTGAACGGTGGGTGCTGGGGCTACGGGCTCTGCTTCCAGGAAAGGGGACAATTCTTTTCCTCGTATAAAGCTGTTTTCTCTGAATTTAACCCATATGGGTGTTTTTCTCTGCCTTAGAAAGGCTTCTCTCTGTTTTGTTTGGGTAAACTCTGCCTAAAGTGAGTGGAAGTGGGAGAACTGAGAGAGCTGTTGCCATCTAAGGGACAGGCTATGGCTGGAGCTGGCACACACTCCATCCACATCTTGTCCTTGCTGAACACAGTGTCACCCCACAGTAGCTTCACACAGGGTATGGGGCTCTCTGTCCTTGCTGAACTGCAGCAGAGAGAGGAAAAAAAAAGTCAATTGTAGTTTTTCCTGCCTCTTTTCTTTCCAGTTAAGAAAACCCCTCATTGAGCGGAAGCGAAGGGAAAGGATTAATAACTGCTTAGACCAGCTGAAGGAGACAGTTGTGGGTGCATTTCACCTGGATGTAAGTGCTCAATTTTATGCTGCTTTTTGTACTTTTTCTGGTGGGGAATTAGTTTTTTTGGGGTTTTTTGTTTGTTTGTTTTGGGGGGGGGATTGTCTCTTCTTTTGAAAAACTGAGCATGGTGCAAACTCTTCATTGCCTCTAACTACTGCACTCTTTCCAGCAGTCTAAACTGGAGAAAGCAGACATCCTTGAAATGACAGTGAAGCACCTCCAGAATATCCAGAGCAGCAAGCTGATGGGTGAGTGCTCGGTCCCTCCCCCAGTGCGCACCGGGCAGGAGGGTGCCAGCAGGTTAGGTCCCTTGGCAGCCTGGCAGAAGCATCCTTCAAGCCAGGAGAGGCCCAGGCTGCTGCTGGCGTTCGGCTGTCTCCACTAGATGGGGAGATGGAGCTGGGCACTGGTGAATCCACGGAAGGCGTTTTTTCCTTCCAGAGCCGCTTTCTGCTTTTTGCCGTAGTTTTGCCTTGGCAGCAGGGCACAGGGGTTCACGCCCTGCTCGCCTTCTCCCTGCAAACGAAGTATCCTCTAGTAAACCCAGTGGCTTCAGCACTGAACCCCCTGGGAGCTCCCGGGAAACTTGGTGAATGTTTCCCAGGAGGAAAGCACCAATCAGTTCTTACTCGCTCACCAACTCCTCTTTGTCTCCTCTCCCACACAGCTGACTCCAAAGTGGGTCTGGAAGCCCAGCAGAGGTACAGCACTGGGTACATTCAGTGCATGCACGAGGTGCACAACCTCCTTCTCACCTGCGAGTGGATGGACAAGACCCTTGGGGCACGCCTGCTAAACCACCTGCTGAAATCCTTGCCCAGGTCTGGTGAAGACACCTGCAAAGCAGCATTAAGGTCTTCAAGCCCATCTCAGCAGCCTCTCTTGATGCCAAAAAGTCCCCTGAGCCCTAAGGGGAGCACTAGGGGCACAAACCGAGCACAGGAACGCTTCTACCCTGCGGAGAACAAGCAGGTGTCCAAAAATTCCTTCCAGCTGCCGTCGCTGTCGGTTTTCAACCAGGTTGATGCTGCACCTCCCAGACAGGTCCTGCAGCCAAATTTTTCTCATAACAACCCGAGAATGGGGTCATTAGATATGTGGAGACCATGGTAAAGTGTGTTTTTGATTATTATCCTAACCTTAGACACTCTTATGTATGTATCTTATAGATATGTTTCTTTAAAACACTTGTGGAGCAAGTCTGTTCCTGTAGGTGTACTAAAGACCAGGGTACTTCAAGCCGAAGTAAACCTATGTGTAGCCTGCATTGTAGAAGGCTGCTATTATTTTTTATTTATTTAATACATCTAAATTATTGTATAGAATCCTCTTGCGCTCTTTAGTGCATATTAATTATGTAGTTTTCTTGTCTTACATTCTAAAATAATTAAGTTCCTGTTAATAAAAATACAAGACATCAAGGAATGACCCTCTCTGGCATCAAATTTACCTCTCAGACTTCACATAAGCCACTGAGATCACTGTTGGATAAAGGGGTAAATGGCTGATCTCTCCTGCTTTTATTATTATCCTTATGCAGCTGTAGGAGGTTCTAGTCTCAATTTCTGTAAAAATGCTGCAGTGATTAGGGAAAAAAAACAGAAAGGGAGAGGCTTGGTCTAGACTTTTTAGGTTGTTTAGAAGTGCTCTGTGGGTTGCTCACTCCAGCTGTGCTGTTCCCAGCCACCCACACATCCTGACACTTCTCCTAAACCAGTGAGCTACAGGTATGTATATGTAAATATGTGTTACATATAGTTACATTTAGGGATCTTTTTTGTTTGTTTCTGTAACTAAAAGTTCTAAAGAAACTTGGAAGATAATGACTGATATTTCTCCCAGCCTTGTCCTGTGTGCTCTGAATAAACAGTACTTGAGCATCTGCTTTTGTTTTCTTCTTTTACAGTTTTTCCTCAAGGCAGTTGAAAGAGCTGGTTTGGGTTTTGCCCCTGATACTTTATAAGAAAGCAGCATGCACCACACACACAGACAGCGTCACCTGGATCACAGTAACACTTAAAAAGTTATCAAGGAATTGGGGAGTTGGGTTTATCAGCCTTGACCTATGCTTTAGCTCTTACTTACAAGTCAGAGATCATCTAAAGGGCAAAAGGGAAAATTCCCTGCAAATTGGGCAAAAGAGACTAGGATAAATCTGCTTGCTTGTTGGCAACATTTGGTCCCTGTTTTTCATCTCAAAGGCAGTTAGAAGTTCCTCACTGCTAAAATAAAAGAGCAGGGAGCTCTTAAACAAACACCACGCATACTAATGAATGGACCCGCAGTCCAGAGGGGCTCATTATGCAGCGAGATCTATTTGATGAGGTGCCTAAGGAGTGAAAACCAGCACCTCTGGGTTTAGCATCTTTATCTGTGAAGAAGCTTTCCCTTTTATCCAGCCCTCTTGAAGAGCCATTATGAGCAGCGGCATAAGGGTGGTAGGAGAAACAACTGGCCTACACACAGCTGCATGGAGGCAAGGCAGGTTTCTTCTGCCGTGGGGTCAGAAGTCAGATGGAGATACAGAATTGAACACATCTTATCTCAACCTCAGTTTCTACTCTCTGCCTGAAAATTGGGACTTCCCCCTCTGCTGAGGGGAACCTCTGGAGTGAACACCAATGTAGAATACACACACCATCATCCCACTGCCAGAGGAATCTAGGGGAGGATTGGGAGCTGGGGCCACCCCAAGCAAACCACTGCAGCAAAGTGCACAAAATACTCACAGGCAGAGAAAATAATCAGGCAAAGCAAACTGCAAAATCCTGGAAGAGAAAATACATTAAAGACCATCCCAGTTTATTATCACACATATTACTGAGTTTAGATAAAACCCCCATCACCTAAGAGCCCCCACAGCTGCACCCACTAGAGGAACCTTTATTGCACACCAGGGGGACTAGAAAAAGGACCAGCTCCCTACCCAAAATTGGGCCTGATATGTTCTTTTACTTCTAGATTATGTCAGTAATGCATTTTGTGACCCTTGTGGGCACCTTATTGTTATGCTGGAAGAGGCTGTGAGGAAAATATTTTGCTACAGTTTGACAGCATCAACTTAAAAACATACATTTCCTCTAAAAGCTGTAAATCTCCAGTGACTCTAATTATCAGCTATGGTTACTGCACTGAAAAGAGATCAGTGGGAAATAGCAATTTCTCACTATCTCTCCTTTTTTATTTCGTGTCTTTGAAAATACTTTGTGGTTAGTGAGTTTTATTCTTTCCTGTTTCTAATCAGTAAGGGCTTTTTTTCTGTTGTGGGTGTGGAGGGAAGGGTCACATCACAGCTAGTGAAAGAGTTTTAAAAATAGAAAGTGAGACTGCAATATTTGGCCAACAGTCTCCAGTAACAGTTTTAGTACAAGACACTCATTTTTCATTGCCTTCATTTCAAACCAAGGGTGACCTTTTATATGATCTCCTTGTCACGTATCCAACTAGTGCTGTGGGTATCCACTCTTCAGGAAAGAAAATGTTTCTTCAGAAAAGCAGAGGATTACTCATAGCACTTCTAATACATGAACTTCAGCTCCTACTTATGTTTGACAAAGGAACTCCATATTTACTTTAAACCAATCTGGTTTTACCAAAATCAGGGCTATACAAGAGCAATAATATTTTGTTCTTCAGTATAGGCACCTCTCCACTAACAATCCCAAAATGCATTGCCAGCTGTTATCATCTTCTCCCCAGGAAAAGGAATAGAGCAGCTCCCCAGTCAGCTGGCTGATGCAGGGTGGAGAGCACTGTCCTTATAAGTTAGTGTTTGGTCACACACTCTGGACACAGCAGCAGAACCCAGACAGATGCCATTTTCACATCTGCAGCAGACACCAGTGGCTGTGTCTCTTGGCTGCCAGAGGTTCCACAGAGCAGCCCAGGGATCAGTCCCCCAGCACCCAGATGAGGCACCTTCAAGGGTGCACCACCATTCCCACCTGGGACTGCATGCCCAAGGCACAGGGGTTTGGAGGCACAGACAACTGGGATGCTGCACACCCAGGTCTTCACATCACATGCAGACTGAAAACAGCCAACACAAGCACCCAGACCAGATTCCTTGGCTCAGGCATGGCCAGACAGACCTGTTTGCTAGAAGTGGTCACAAGATGCATCACATCTCCCCCAGCACACGCAGGGCTCAGACAACTTGGTGCAGATCTGGGTTGTGTCCCCTGCCAAAGTGCTGTTCCAGATGTGTGTTTGTGAATAGAGCATTAAAAAGCAGAGGCTGATTGCTATGCACACAGGGATATGGGGAAGGCTAGGCCCAAGCTCAGGATCCTCATGTGTCTTTAACACAAAGCAATTACTGATTTATGCAATAACACAAGTTCAGGTGGACAAAATACCCATGTGCATAGGAGTTCCCTTTTTTATATAAACTTTACTTCCAGACCTACTCTCATGGAAACTAAGAAGAAAACTCTCACTTATTTCTCAGTAAACAGGACCAAATCCTTTCCAGTTAAGAACGTGCAGAGATTCATGAGGATGTAAGAGAATTTAGGGCCCTGTCATACTGTCTCCTCCCAGGCACACACAACCCTCAGGGTCTCTGAGCATCTCTGCTTTCTCCTTTACTCCTTCTCTCACCCTGAGGGTCCCACAGCCACCTACAGTAACAAGGCCAAAATGCTTTAGGGATTTAGGAGTGGTGCTGAGCTCCTGCAGATCATTACCTGAGAGGGCTCAGCACAGTGTTTAAAAAGGGAACACAAGCTAAATTTTCAGTTGGCTTCTTTGTTGAGTGATCACTTTGGCAAAGAGGAGACTCCAGTTTGCCAGTGTGACCTCTCCAGAAGCTGTGGAAGGGCTCCTAATCCTCTGCACTCACAAGAAACCTTGCAAAATCCCATGCAAAAGCAGTCTGGGGCAAAGGGTTTCAAACTGGTTTTGAACCACACTGCCATGGCTGTGAGTGCTTGCAGATCACTAGCAAAGTGTTCCTCTTGGAAGGAAAGTGAAAACAAACTCATTACCAACAGAACACCAAAGACTTCAATTCCCCTTTATATATGCCATTATCCAACAACTTCCAGTGTATACATTCCTGCCTTAAGAGGGACAAACTCATATTTCATCTCGTGAGAAGTAATGTTGTGTTGAGAACCTAACCCAAAGTCTGTCACATTTTTCGCATACTCATGAATAATGCAGCAGAAACTGAAGCCAGCCCTGGATCTGGTCTGCACTACTGAGATATTTCATTTATAAGTCACAGCCCTGGTGAGAATGTGGCTTGCTGCCTGAGGCATCACCACAGACCTACCAGAGCCTGGGAACTCACTTTGCTCTGAGACTCTCCTATGGTTCCTGCATTAGGTGTCATCAAGTTTTCTATGGCTAACACCACCAAGAAAAAGGACTTCTTCAATCAGTCCCAAATCTGCTGCCACAGAAAGATTGGGTCCCCTAGAAACAACTGAAATAGCTCATCTTTGGGGATGGAGGACTGACTGTTCCTTCTGCTCTGCCAAACAGCAATTGCCCTCAAGGAGAGCTAGGAATGATGCCTTCTTACAGTCCCTTCCCAAGGAAAGTGGGGAAAACAGCACCACAGAAGCTTTGTGGCTGTTGGAAAGGGAATAGCTTCACTGAGATAAGAGGAAGGATGGAGAAACCACTGCCAAGCTAGCCCTTCCTTCACTAGGAGTTTCCCAAACCCCTCATCTCTTTCTCCATCTGCCCCTGCCCAGGCTCCCTCATCCTTGAGCAGCACAGAGCAGAAGCCTCAAATTGGCATAACCTGAAATTGGCAAATTGGCAGCCCCAGCAACTCTCTGCATGGTCACACCACCTCCCACTGCTCAAGCTGTTTCCTTCTACTTGCTACAGACTGAGAAGGTAGAGAAAAATAAGCATTTCTACACAGTTCAGAATGTGTAGTTACTCAAATGTTAGTCAGGACAGTGAAGTGAACCACAAGAGCCATGGCTGAGCTCCTCAGGATAGAGTTGCTCCCACAGCAAGGGCAGAGAATCCATGTGTAGGAGCTGGGACTTTCCTGGATCCCTCTGGGGCTGTGGAAAGAACTGCTGAGGAGCAACCACATAACCTCAAACCTCTCTGCCCCCTGCCCTTCCCCTGCCCTACCCTCATTAGCC